GGGGGTCCCCCCGTTGCGGTTTGGGGTTCAAGGGCTGCTTCCGTCGGCCAAGGCCGCTTCAGGCAGTGCCGGGCCGGACTGGGCTCAGCGCCGCACCTGGGGATTGGGGGACCTCGGCCCTTCACCCGGTTTGTCGCTCTGTATATCCTAGCTATCCGGTTCCGGGGGAGCAAGTCAGTTGTGACTGCCTGAAGCTACCGCTGCGACTGTAAGATCACCTAGTACGCAGAGACGTCTTGCCTTGGCGGCTCTAGGCCTTGCAGCATCGTCCCGGCCCCTCGGGCAGCAGGCAGGTGAGTGCCAGCGGGCACCCCTTCTGCACCGAAAGGGCAGGGATGGAAATGTTCTTAGCAGGCAAACAGCTCTCTGAGATGGAACACCTCGGTGGAGTGTTTTCCAGCAATAAATGCTTGGCTTATTTGGCAAACAATACTGGAAGCAAAACAGCCTGCTCTTAACTTTCCATCCCTGGCAGGTAGTAGCAGTCGTTTAGGTGACTGCCTGACCACCCTATCTGTCTGTCTCGCACGTAAACGTCATAGTTTGTACCCGTGCAGTTTTGTTTTCCTGGCTACAGTATTACAAATGGGGCATGTGGACATGAATTTTTAATCTTGTTACATGCAAAGATAAATGCATTTTCTGAAATTTCTTCTCCAGCAAAATGCTGCCAACTACTTCAGTTAATTCTCGGAACCAGGGCAATGGTGCGTTGAACTCCAGAGATGCTGCCAGGCATACGGCTGGAGCAAAGCGCTACAAGTACTTGCGAAGGCTCTTCCACTTCCGACAGATGGATTTTGAGTTTGCTCTGTGGCAGATGCTCTACCTATTTACTTCACCACAGAGGGTTTATAGGAACTTTCACTACAGAAAACAAACGAAGGACCAGTGGGCAAGAGATGATCCTGCTTTCTTAGTACTTCTCAGTATCTGGCTGTGTGGTAAGTGCCCAGGAACAGAGTGCCTAAATAAGAGGGAGGAAAAGGTGATTCTTTACAAGTTCAGGGATGAACTTTTGTAGTCCTTCTTCTAGCCACAGAACAAAGACAACCAGTATGTACGGGTTATTTTTCAGTCGAAATACAATAAAAAATGATGCCATAACCTGCTGGAGGTTAAGGTAGAAATTAGAAAACGGAGGATGTGTAACTGCAGATGTTATGTAGTTGTCTTGGAAAAGCTCTTTATTGTAACTCATTGTTTTATTGCATCCCAAACTATGTGGTTCCCTTCAGCTTCGAAGCCAATAATAAAAAACCCATGGCACATAGCAGGGATTTAGTTTAAAAAAAAATGCTGAACCCATGGTTTGGCAGATGGGAGGATGTAAGTCATTACAAATAAAACACTGTTTTTACAATAGAGCCCCCAGGAAGTTTCTTTATATTGCAAAATTTAGTTGTCAGCAATCAAAGTCTCTCACATGTAGCTTTTAAGACTGAACTTAAAATGCCATAAGGAGAGTATTGTCCTAGTCTTCTGTAATACAGCGCATTGCTGATAGTAACAGCAAAGCTTTTAACTCTGAAATAAAAGTGTATATCTCCAAATGCATGTTTTGTGTTAACAATTAGCTTTTATAAAACAAACATTCTATGTAGCATTCTGTCAATTTTTAAAAATAGTTGGGGCAAGGCAATTTGCTATGACATTGTTAAGCCAAAGTACAGATGAATGTTCTCCGACCTGTGAAAGGAATTATATTATGACAAATTGCACCATACCTAGTATTTGGTGGGGGAAAATGGGCTGTTGGACTGAAAATGTCAAGGAGGAAAATAAAAATGAAATACTGGAGATTTCATAACAGCACACTTAAAAACATGCCGATTTAAGGTCTCTTTCTTTTCTCTACAGCTAATTTTAATAATCTCTTTTTCTCTTTTCAGTGTCTACCGTGGGATTTGGATTTGTGCTGGACATGGGATTTTTTGAAACAATAAAGCTGCTACTTTGGGTGGTATTCATAGACTGTGTAGGGGTTGGCCTTCTGATAGCAACTTTAATGTGGTAAGTAGTAATGTCTGAAACTGAATTCAGTATTGCTGTTGGGTCATCAGTGGTCCTCTTCTGTTTGCAAGATAGTTATTTTTCTGTTTTGGGCAAAATTACAAAGTAGATATGAGTATAGGTTTTTGTGCTGCTGTGCCTATTACTTCAAACCTTAGTTTAAAAAAAATGACATTTTTCTGTACTATTTCTTGCAGAAGAAGATTCATGTTTAGAAAGTTTGTATTATGATGAATGTTTCAGTTTGTTTTCTTTCTTCTTGTGCTGGTTGGTCTTCGGTAGTAATCCCAAACATGGTGATCAGAAAAATCCTTCATTCCCTGTTTTGGTTGAGTAAATAGCTTAAATAATGCAGGCCTAATGACGATAATATTTAAGTGGGGCAATATAAAACTGGCCCATGCTTCTTGTTGAAGCATTTTAGCTATTTCTGCTACAATCAATGTTGGTTCTATTTCATGCATGTCAGCTTTGTTCCAATGGTGGTGGTCACTGTCAGTTTTATCCTGTAACACCCAGAGGCACATGCTAAGCTTCCTGAGCAGGCTTGCTCTCAGGCCCAGAAAGAGGAAAGTTACCAGCTGTGTAGGAACAGTGAAACAGCTTCTTGTCTTAGGTGTTGGTTTTCCTGTTCTCCAGGCTGCTGTGGAAAAGAAGGCTAATTTTCTTCCTTCCTTGCACACAGGTAACAGTTGTCACTTGTAATTATACGCACTGAAACCAGGAAGTAAGGGCAGAAGCGAAAATAGCCCTGCCATTTTTTGTCTCTCTTTTGTGGCTTATTGAAAAAGGAAAAGCAATAGACTTATGGAAATGTGGCAGAGGTCTGCCTGCATGTGGCTCCTCTGCTTTTGTCACTTTTTGCCCTCCATTTGGCTTATAGAAGGGGAGAGACGGTAGCGAGCGAGTTCGTAACCCAGGCCTCAGCATATTATAGATGTATGCCAGGTCAGCGAGGGAGCCATGGAACAACAGGAAGTCACTTGCAGTGGGGCAAGGTGAGAGCACAAAAGAATTTTCTCTACCAAGAACTCGTCGTGGTAGTAGTGGAAAAAAAGAATTTGTGATGAATCAGGAGCACTTCAGAGACATCTTATAGTGATGCTGATCAGTAAAAAGGATGGATTCCTTTCAAACAGTGACATTGGAAATACTCCTTTATAATTGCAAAATTCAGGATCAACTACATATAAGAACTGTAGCTGATATATGAAAAACCCATCTAGTTTAGCGTCCAGTCTGGGAGAGCAGCCCATAACATGCTTGGGGAAGAGCATATTGTAATATTTCCCTAAGTAATAGCCGCTTTCATCCTCCAGCAATTTGTGGATCAAGCATTCTTAAGCCTAGGGCTGTGTTATCCTGATCCAAAAAGACTTCAGCATTGGTTGATTTTTCCTCTGTTCTTTAGCCTGCCTCCTACAGGCCTAAATACCTGTCACCCGGCTCCCTGTTGGTGAGATAAAGACCTTTCCTCTGGTACAGGCTCCGCCTTTTTCAGTAGCTTCCCCTTGCATCCAGGCTCTGCCTCTTTCTGACCCTGCCCATGGCACTAAGAGTGTTTCAGAGAATACTACAGTGAAAGTTCTGGTCTTCTAACTATTTACTTTTGCACATATATTGACTTCTTGGTCCAGTTCTAAATGAGAAGAACTTCCTGATGTCACCAGAACAAAAACAAGGCAATGCTCATTTGATTAGCACCTGCTTGTAACAAAGAGAATGGTTTCATCTGAAGAGCGTTAATCTGACCTCTTTCTGTCTCTAAAGGCTGCCATTTCTGTAGAAATGAAATACATCATCTCTGATGTGAGGTAATGTGCAAGCACTTTCCTGAAATCATCTGGAACAGGGGTGGCAGCACTGCTGGCAACTTGTAACTGCATTGATAAACTGTAGCACTCCTCCACTTTAAAAAAAAAAAAAAAAAAAAAAAAAAAAAAAAACAAATGAACAAACAAAACCAAACCCTGGTGCTGTTTGTTAGCTGCAAGATATTTCAGCTGCATGTTGAATGCAAAAAAAGTAATTATACTTCTAACATGAAATGATTCAACAATAGTCTGGTCTGTGTAATTCTTGCATATTTTTCTCCCAAATAGCAGAAACTGCTTTCTCACAGCTCTGAGTTAGGATATTGTATGGCTCACTACCTCAAACCACTGTTATGCAATTCAGCTTTACATATTCACATTAACAATCTTCTCAAATATCTTTTCATGTAGGTTCATTTCTAATAAGTATTTGGTAAAGCAGCAGAACCGAGACTATGATGTGGAGTGGGGATATGCCTTTGATGTTCATCTGAATGCTTTCTATCCACTTCTAGTCATTTTGCATTTTATCCAACTGTTCTTCATCAATTGTAAGTAGAATATTTTATGTGCTCGCTGCTTTAAAATTATGCCCTATCAAAACAGCTGAGAGCAATTGTCTTTTTCAGATGTCATCATATCCGATTCAGTCATTGGGTATTTTGTTGGGAACACGCTATGGCTGATTGCAATCGGCTATTACATCTATGTGACATTCCTAGGATACAGTGGTAAGTAATGGTAGTATCTTATTATTATTATTCAGAATATAACTGACTGAAAAACAAGAACATTATTTTAGTCTGCTGACTTGTAAAGCATAGGATCATATGGGGTGGGGGGGGTAAAGGCATTCTTCTTTCACAGTAAAGGAAGTTTGGTATAAATTTATCCAACCCCTATTTTCAGCTAGGTGGATATCTTATATAGCTAAAGCTTATATAGCTATATGGAGATATACATATATATGGTTATTACATTCTTTACTATATTAGCAACTTTTGTTCCCTTTGAGCTATGGCAACTCAAGTTTTTTTATTTTGTTCCTCTCTAAACCTACTTCAACAAAATATTTGCCTTAAATAGAAATTCTGTAATGATTAAGAATATAGTTTTAGGTAAAACTGTTTCCCGGAAGCTTAGCTATAGTAATTAACTCAAGTACTCTGAAATCTGTGATAATCTGTGATAATGGTAGGACTAGTATGGCAGAGGTGACAAACTTGGCATTGTAATGAAGATGGCACAGAAGTACCTTTTTTGTTGCTATTTTTCCCCAAGGCCATTCTAGATATAGCAGTTACCAGACCTTTTTTGAAAAAGCACTATTTTATACTTGCTTCACCGATTACTGCCTCTCTTTCAGCATTGCCATTTTTGAAGAACACAGCTATTCTTTTGTATCCCTTCGCACTTCTCATCATGCTCTATTTGATCTCATTAGCATTTGGCTGGAACTTCACCAAGATGCTTTGTTCTTTTTATAAATACAGAGTGAAATAAAAACAGGACTTCATGTATCATGTTTAGTTTGGTTTAATCTTAGCTGTCTTGACATAAAGAAAAACAGTTAAGAGCTTTTTGTAAATGGTTGTAAATTTCTCTTTATTGTAGATAATTGTGTAAAAAAAAAAAGCTTGAAGTGTAATTTTTATTAAAATATTTACAACAGTAAACATGTTAGCAATTTTGTTTGAATACTTTTGCAGTACATTGCTAAAAACAAATTACTTGTACATCGTTGTAGCTTAAATTTAGCTGCAACAAGTCTATTTAGCATAATTCTTACTGCAGATATTTTGCACATACTGGCATAAGCTCAACTTTACAAGTTTAAGTGACACTGAAAAAGCAGTTTCATTTAAGACTAATACTGGAATAGGTTGCCTCTGGAGTGTGTGAAAATAGGACTTTTTAACAGTGTTGCAATGGTAAAGCAACAATTGCCTCTACATACAGAACTATCCTCTCCTTTTATATAAGAACTTTAGAACAGATTTATTTTCATGTCTTTATTTCAAATATACATGGACAACTGGCACACAGAAGAAACATTGATGAAAGGCACAATTAACATGACCCCATAACAGGTTTCCAAATATAGCAGCAAGTTTTTAAACCCAATCTATAGAAGTCCAGTGGGTATTATTACATCCGCTAATGTGAGTGGCTTGTTAATGAAAATGGAGGGAAAGTACAAATCAGGTTTGGCTACAAAGGCCCCTTGCAATGCCTAGAGCTGTAAAGTCCACGAGGCAGGAGTACAAACTGACCATCACAAACAATACCTTCTGGAAAAACAAGGATGACAGCTTTCCAAAGCGTCATGTTCAGTCTAAAATTGGAGTACTAGGATTCAATTTCAAAAACAATGCAACAGTAAACCAGTTACAGTAAGACCTAATAGTTCAATACTAGAATTTGATCACTAAGGAAAAACTACATTTAGCTTAAAATACCAAATATGCTGGCAGTGCATCTTACAGTACTATCAGCCACTGTTAAGGCTTGAAGAAAATTGTTTCCCTCTCAGCAAACACTGAGCAAAGTTCCCCTTTAACAAGTAAAGCACTGAACCTTTGATCCAAGGAAGGCTAAGAATTCCCTGCTTCAACCCTGGCGTAACAGCACGAGCTCCTGTCCTGCAGGCAGCTACAAGCAAAACTGTACAACTTTCCTGAATAGGAATCCTAGCACCGGTGATCATCTGCTTAAGTTCAACAGTAAAAATACTTCATATGTAGCACCCTGTAGCTATACCATTGAAATCAATGGTGGGCTCAGGGCCTGTGTACCTTTCATTTAGAGATATCAAAGTTTGTCCCCTTAAAACAAGGCTATGTAGTTCTCAAAATTCAGCTATGTGGAATTCTAGCTCACTGCTTACAGTAGAAATCAGAAAACCAGTTAAGGAAACACTGAGGTCAAAAAGCTACGCTTTTGGACTAGCTCATTGTATCAGTGTGTAGTTTTTGTTTTGAAATCAGCAATCAGTGCCGTTCTGAAAACAGTAATTATGTAACAGCCTTTCAGCATTAAGCTGGTGATTGTAAAGAGGATTTAAAATGTATGCATTTTTCCCCTTTCTACTACTACCACTTGCTTTAGGTTTTTCAGAATATAGCCTTCCTAGTAAGAGCAAATATAAAACTTCAACTCAGATTTAATTTATTGCAGGGGAGACAGAGTTGAAAAGATCTCTTTTTTTTCAAGGTTAAAGTAATATTTTCCACATTAGAAGCAAACTACAAATTACTACAGTACTTCATTTGGAGCAAACGTTTCTGACAAAACGCAAAGATTACTGAAATAATATTTATAGCAAAAAATGAGGAAAAATAATGTTGCAAAATCATCTGATCTTGCCAAAGGCTAATCACACTCCAGCATATTCAAGGAATCATAGTTCACATTGGCAAGCTATAAATAGCTTTATTCTAAACTGAATCTAGCTACAGTTTAAAATTACTTTTGAAAGAGCTAGAAAAGCAGTAATATGTTGGAAGAGTCCAGTCTTTTATTGGTCCATTAATTAAATATATAGTTTAATTCTTCTAAGCCATCTTTCAGTTAAGAAGAAGTAAATGCATCTATTTGAGTATTTTCTACTAGTGTAAATAAATGTTTGAGATGCCTGCAAGAGCACAAAGCCTGAAACTGTTTCTGAAATACTACTAATAAAAAAGTGCTAGTTTGGGATCACGTCCTGTTCACATTATTTACAACGTTTTCAGTAAAACCACCCACTGAATGAGCAAAGCAAGATTAATTCTGTGCTGACAGTCTTAATCTTTCCTTGGTCTAGGGCAAAAACGATCAGCTCAGAAAAGACAGTGCTATAATCAAGCTGGTCTGTTTGGCATCCAAGATAAGAATAATGTGCCCAGAAAATGAAGGTTTATGGAAATGCATTTGGTTTCAGAAAAGTTTCTTCTTTTCTGAAGCTATAACAACATCAGAAGGAGCTGATGATATAGTTTATTTTGAAACACTTTCCATCATTTGATTACTGTAAGTTTTATTCACTTACAGGAGATTTTTAAAGGCCAAGTTTAAAATAATTTGATGTTAAATAAATGTAGGAAAAAACTCCCCCCAAAAATCAGGTAATTGGTTTCAGATGCTCAGATGAACTTGTATTAAATACTTACAACTGAGACAAGACACACCAGTCTATCTGGAGTACACCTAGTCATAAACAATACCCAAGCTATTGGCTGTTGGGCCAAACAGTTGAAGCATTCTTATTTTACCGTAATTCCAGAAAGGAGGCTTGGACTACTGTGGACTGACTTGGGGATTGGAATTTCAAAGTTTGAAAGTCGAAAATAGCTGTCTGTAAGGATAAGCAGACAGAAAATATTTTCCCTTGGAAAATATTTCCAAGGAAAGAACATCAGGTCTGAATTTATCTGAATCTATAAAACATATTTTTCCTCCCAAATGATTCATTATAAATTAATTTGTACTAAGCTGGCACATTTATTTAGAAAGTATAGAATCTCAAGGACATTTTAAATGTTAAAGCAGCCAAGAGTATTTCCAACTCTTGCTAGTACAATGTAATAAAAATGCAATAGTCTTTAGAAAAAAAACAATGTACTTTATCAAGCATAAGTTAATTTGTGTTTTTTGATAAATTTCATCTCAACATTTTTGAGCAACACCAGAGTACTGCAATCAATTTGGTAAGGTTTCTATACATTTAGATTTATCATCAGTGATACTTCTTAACTACTATCAAACATTAGGAACAGTGATGCGCTGAAAATAAGCACACAGCATTCTTAATAAATGGTACCAATAAACTTATAAACTGTTTTGCTTCATGAAAAAAGATGAAAAAGATGAGAGTTACTGTCAGCAAAAGTACTTACATTAAGAAACTGTTAGAAACATTTAACATTTATTCCTGCAATCTACATTGCAGTAAATAGCTATAGTTTAAATTACCTGCATCATTCATTCACAGGCACAACTGAGAAGAGAATAACTAACATGAGGTCCAAATAATTTCTTAGACCTTTGCTAGCTAATAAGCAATGAAAAACCATTACTTGGTAATACCTTGACCGAACGGGATTATACATTACAGATTATGGTGTGGCACCGCAATAGGCTAGATTCACTTAGGATTTCTGAGCATATAAATCCACATTCCTAAGTCCAAGACTGAACTCCATTTGTGAGGCCAGTGCTTCACTTACTTACACCTATAGTCTCCATGGGTAAGACAAACTTTATACGTAACATCTTATTTACACCTGCTGGCATAATCAAAAAAAGTAAACAAGCCCTGCCTCATACATAGCTCATCTACTTTTTTCAACTTATACCAGTCAGTCTAAGTAAAACATCTTACCTCTGTGTACAAATCTGGTCTTCCCTTTGTCCTCAGATAACACAGCTAAAACATAAATAGCTTTACTTTTAAAGACCATAGTCATGAATTTGAATGTTGCTGAACTGTCTTAGCTACAACACAATTTGCCAACGAGGCAGACGAAAGCTTGACTCCACATCCCAGTGGTGATGGCTTTCAGCTCGCAATGCCTCATGAATACCTCACGAAAAATAGACCAAATCTTTTGGAAGAATTTTCATGCTGGAGACACGGATTCAGGATCTCCACTCTACATTAGGGGCTCCACAATGGGTTTTGCCCATACGCAGAGCCCTGACCGCAGAGCTGTTGAGGTGCACTCTGTCCCCTCAAGGCAAACGGGGCCAGCTTTCCAGATGGCAGTTCCAGGCAGCAGATTCACAGCACAGCCGAGAATCCCAAAACCAGGGCAGAGGCCTCCCCTCCAAGGTTGTTCAGGCACCTCATTCCTATTAAAAGGGAGGAGTTTCTGCCTCTCGTCTTCCTGACTACTTCTGACTGGGTAATTTAAATCTTCCCATGCCTGCATCCTTACGCATCAGCACGTAAGCAGAAGGACTCTTAAGGACAGTGGCAACATTAGCACTGCAACAATCTCCTGTGGATTTAACCCAAAGCGCTTTCTCTTCCGGACTGGGCTTCTGACTCATTAAACATCACTGTTGTTTCCCTTGAAGCACAAAAGGCAGGATACTAACTTGAGGCCCAGTTCAGTTCCACTCAGTGGGAATAATTACATTGATCAATAAAGGTGCTGGACTAAAACCTCCTTGTCCTTGAACAACAGAATACAATAAAAATAAACCATAACTAATCACTGTAATGTATCCAAAATAAACACTGCAATAACATACATTTTTAAAAGGAGAACTCTACAGATCACATGTATCTCATGTCTACTTTTTGTGATAAAAGGTAACTCTTGTCACTCCAAAGCAAAGCTGGAGAATGATTTTTTCAATACAGAAAATGAATTTGTCCAGACTAGGAAATGTCTACAAAGATTTTTAGAAAGAACAGTTTGGAATTGAAAATTCTCCTAAAATGCAATGGATAAAATCTAAAATCACCACAGATCTAGTACATAATATGAAATACCAAGACATTTCAACATGTTTTTATGTGGCTAGAAACTGTACATACTGGAATTTCATAGCCCCAAAGAATAATGTTCTTCAGAACTCTGTTAATGCCTCTGAACATCATTCAGATTCTGTGTACAAAACTACATAATTTAGAAACTCAACCTAGTTCTTTTAAACACGGCAGTATATTTGAAATATGGTATTAATTTATGTTTGCATCTCCAAAGAAAAATGTAGAAAGATAACTTAAACTAGATAATCCATAAAAAAACATATCAATTTAAAATTTTACTGCATAAAAATATGTACTTTCAAATTATTTTAATAAATTAAATATCCCTAACATTTTTAATATATATCCCTGACAATCTATAAAAGAGGGTTCTTGTTATAGAAAATAAATGGAACTCCGAAAGTACCCCCTTCATAAAACGTATTTAACAATAATTATATTTTCTTCTTCTTCAAGGAATGTAACAATATGTACAACTTCTCTGTATTACTATACTATCAAAATAGTACAGGTTAAGAGTAGCAGGGCTCTGCAACCCTAAGATGGTAAAGTCACCTTAAAGTGAAGGACAACTTAGACCTCAGACGAATGTTATCAGGATGAAGCATCAGTTTCTGGATGGATTGGATAAGAAGGGGTAAGTACAATCTTCTCATCTACAGTAGATTTCACAAGAGGTAGTGTTCAAGTGAAAAATGAAAGAAATTTGGAAT